TAAAGCATGTAGGAGGTTTGCTAAGATTGACGTAGAAGTAGTTTAAAAAATACATTAAGTAACATTTTCCTCTTGACAAACAAGAAGCTGACCAAAAGGAAGTTGCTACCTCTGCCGCTATGCTGGTTAGTTGGCTTCCTTCCATGTTCCTTCACACAAAGAATATGAGGGTTTGAATGCTTGATGGATGTGGCAATTAGGTTTTAGTTTAGAGTTATTCTTGATTTATGCTGATTTGGGTTGGTGGATTGGTAGAACTGCCATTACAAACACTCTGTTTTCTGCATGATCTGAGGCGCAGAAATGTGGGCCATGCCATAAAATGGAAAATACAACATATGTTTGTGCTGGAATGTATAACTCTGCAAATATGTTGTTTTGATTTTTTTCCAAATAGACCCATCTGAAATGTCACTTTGCCAGTCTACCATATTCTGAAGCTCTTGTAGTATCCAAACTCATTTTGTTATGATTTTTCTCTGTCTAATTTAAATGTGTTAGCCTATAGGTTGGCCTGAATATAAAGGGTCACACATTTCTGATTAATGACTCACTTTTACTTCACATGTGTTGATTTTTTTGGCATTTAGAACTCTCTTTACTGAAGTTGCAGAAATACAATCGAAGGGGGTGTGCACTTTGGATGCCTTTGTCAAATGACATCAATTCAGATTGCAGGGAATGTGAGGGATTACACAGCATTGGTCAAACTGGTATATATCATTGACATTCTGCATTGTCTCTCTTTTAAGTTTAGCATTAGTTTTGGTTCATATTTGAGGCAGATTATAGTCTTAGGAGCTCTGCAATTTTAGTCTTTCTATTGCCTCCATCAGTCCATTGAATCACTGTAGATTGTATCAGTGCCCCCCCTGGAATCCAAGCAGGGCTTCAGCGTCTCTCTTACTTCTGCCGCCAATGAACTAATTGTTTGCTCACAAATCTGCTGGAATGTAGGAACCTGTAGCCTTCTTCGGTATAAATACTTTTATGATTAATTATCTTGAATGCACTCCAAATGACTTACGGCACAAAACATTTCCTACTTCTATCCACTTATTAGTTGATTGAACATTTTTAACACTAAGGTGCAGGATATGCAGTACAACCAACTTAATTTTCAGAAAGATTTAATGAATGTTACAATCGCCTCATTTTTTAAAAAAAAATCTGCAGCGACGACTAACCAACAAAGATCAGATTGGAGGCCTATGGCAGCAGCTCTGTTCGATGTCTGGTGCAAGAGATATGATCAAGCAATTACGATCTGGCATGGGACAGCGACATATCAAGATCACAAGGCTCTTGCATTTCATGAGCAAAGCTACAAGTGGTACTTTTTGAGTTTTGAGAAGTTGCATATTTCTTCATTTGAAAAAAAAATGCACCTGCCAACAACTATCCAACAACACAGGTATGGTGAGCAACCAGTCAAACTAGGTATTCTTCAATGATGTAGCTTTGCTAACATGTATTGGCCAACTGCATTAGAACATATTTCGTAAACTAGATGTTAATCTACATGATATGTTACCTTCAATTTTTTTAGGCACATGATATATATTCATTTATCTGTTGTTCTGCATTATATTATTTTTTGTCCAAATTTTATGAGCCCGTAGCAAAGCATGGGCCAATTTCTATTGTTGCATGTCAGGTTGGATGGCATCAAGGGCTTCATAAGCTAACTCAAAATTCCCATCTACTGCAACAAGGAAGAGCATGTTGTCGTTTGTGTTTGTGAGGAGTTCAGTTTCAGAAGTGCCTAAGTGTAGCCGGTGACAGCTGATTGGCCAGTTCAAATTACATATAATGCCAGGATTTTGTATTTGAATACTTCATAGATGTCTATCAGGATAATCCATCGACCTAATTCTATATAGTTTGAGAAATTTGTTTAGTGTAATGGATAGAACACCCATAGTAGACAGTCTAAATTTGTGTAAGTTAGAAATTTATGTATTTGGAAATAGTTATGCAATGTTCCTACATCTTTGGCACACATTGTGTGCATGTGGTTTCAATCACGCTCTCGCACTGAAGTTTAGTCTCAGTGTACAACTACATTTTACCTATCTTAACATGTTTCAATAGCATGTTGCTAAGATTAGATGGATTGTAGTGCTATGTGGTCTCAAAACACCATATATTTTTCATGCCCTCTTATCATGTTTATTTTTTTTAATCTCTATAGCAACGCACGAGCATTAGTGAATGAATACACCTATTTTATCAAGACGACAAATATGAATGAAGTGTTTTTTGTTAAGATAATTCATAATTGTATCATCTAAATATTACACGTGTATATAGGATTATTGTCCCGTTGCAACGCATGGGCACTTCACCTAGTGGAAAAAAATCCATTTTAGCTCAAATTGTCGTTGTTGTTTTGTTTTTCTTTTCAAACTCTAAAACCAAACATCTCACCCCTTAACAGTCAAAACCGTTCGAATTATCTTCTTGACTTGTTTTAAAGTGGTTCTTCAAAACCGTTCGAATTATCTTCTTGACTTGTTTTAAAGTGGTTCTTCAAAGGTGTTATGTCCCTTTTTACTTAAAAATTTGATAAATACTTGAAGAGGTTATTAAACCACAGAAAATGTTTCTAAGCCTCTATTTTTTTTAAAGAAAATATGTCAAATATTAACCAAATCTTTTAACTAAAAAATACCAACTAACCACTTCAAAAGCAAGACATGGAGGTAATTCACACGGTTTTGAGGGTTTAGGGCCTAAGAGCATCTCCAAGTATATTTCTTAAACTCACTCTTTTAAATCATCACGTGGAGAGTAATTTGAGTAAAAAAACTGTTCTCTATATATCTTTGCACCCTCCAATATCTTTTCTATATCTTGTTGTAAAAAAAAACATTTCTATATCTTGTGCGCACTCTAGAGAGTCAACATCGCTCCCTATTTTTGGTTAGCGAGAAATCCGGAATAAAGGATGACAATATTTGGAGATCTAATTAAAGAAGTTCTCGAAATGTATTTTTTAATTAAAATATCTATTGTTATCAATTATGAAGGATATGATCGTACGAAGAGGTTACTGGAGTTCTAAGGGCAACTCCAAGAAACTCTTTATATGCTTCCTAAATATTAGGAATAGAGATTTTGGTGAAAACCTACCCTCCAAGAGCTTCTCTAAATGGTTATCCAAATATAACATCTTCTATTTTGGATGTTTCGCTAGCCAGTACGCATGAGATATAGAAGAACTGTTGGAGAGTGAAAAGATATAGAAAATGACTTATGCAGATGACTCTCCAAATGATGATTTAGAGAGTGAAATTTAGAAAAGCTCTTGGAGACGCTCAAGAGGTCTAGTTTTAGAGTTTGAAGAAATATGGCGCAAAAGAGTGCGACTTTATTTTCATCCGCCAATGACACGATGCATCCAAAACGGTTTGAGACGGCCCGGTTCTTCTAAGCCCAAGCATTCACGTGTGTCCGGTTCCACCTGAGCACCCTATAAATGACCATAAGGTCCGCGGCCTATGAGCACGGCAAAGCCTAAAATGGCATAACTGAATGATTGTTTAGCCAATGAAGGATTTCGCGTCACAGAATGAATCGAAGAACTGAGAACGTTTCCAATCCCGACAGCAGCTCCCGCTAAGGGCACGTTCGTTTCACACGGAATGAAGTGCCGGAACGGATCCGGCCAGGAACGTCGACGTATTTTATACGGGCCACCCACCACCAGGAAGCGATCTGGCCAGGAATCAGACGAAACGAACGGGCCCTAAAGCAATTGCAGCAGCTCTAGCACCTATTAATTTAGCTCCCTCTAACATGTAGAGTTGAGAGTTTGTTTCACGCTTTTCCTTCCGCAACTCGAAATTTCGAGTATAGTATTTCTCGTTGATTTGATTCCTCTCCTTAGTTGAACAGGTGAAAGCGAAAGGAGTTGGAGTGCCAGTAGATGGAAAAAGTGGGTGAGTCGAGCCTGTCTTGTGGAAAAAGCACTATTTGTATGACAAGTCTCGTTCAGCAGCGGTGGGGGAGCAAGTATACGGCGGCAACCGAGTAGTAGTAAACACAGGTTTCTGAACTGTAGGAACATGGGCAAGTACATGTTTTTGAGGAGATAGGGTAAGGTGTCTGGTAAGAGAAGGGAGTCTGTTTCAAGTAATCTGCGTATGGCTAGTGACATGAAGAAGCTGTAGTTTATCAAGGAGAGCTTTGTCGGAAGGGTTTGGACTGGCGTTCTGGTTCGCCCCAGGCATGACCCGACAGATAGAGATGGCCCATGACTGGGCCGCTTCCTCGGAACGGCGTGGCGGCCCGATCAGCAGGAAACCCTACCCAAGCCATCTCTATCTCATATATAAATATTATCAAATCACAACCCTAAGCCTAACTCCAACCCCATCCCTCCACCCAGCCGCCGCATAGACTCCTGCCCCTCCGCTTCCTTCTTTTCTTCGTTCCTTCTTCACCAGGGCGACGGCCAGCCGGCGGCACATGGGCGCGGCCACACCCAGCTCGCGGGGCGGAGGCCCCGGCAAGCTCGCGTGCGGCGACACGGGGGCGGCGGCCGTGGTTCGCGGCCTCACTGGGCGGCGACGCGAGGGGCGCTGGCCGGCCCCGGCCAGCTCTTGCGGTCCCCAGCCTGCTCGCAGACGCGGCAGCGGCGCGGCCCTCCCAGCCTGCTGCCCTGCTCGCGGACGCGGCGGCGGCGCGGCCTCCCAGCTTGCTGCCCTGGTCGCGGACCCTGCTCGCTGACGCAGCGGCGGCGCAGCCAGCAGCATAGCGAAGATCAGTCGTGCGTCGGGCCAACACGGCCCGTTATTTTGTCCGTCTGGCCCGACCCATTGTGGGCTGTGCCTGGGCCTTAGCTGATTTCCCCGACGCCATCGATTCCAAGAAGCCCGTGGCCACCTCTATATATTGTTCCGCCACGACGTGCCGGTAAGTAACCCCCACCCCAAAATAACCCGCCTCTGCTCGCGCTCGCCAGCTGCTCCCGAGTTCAACCCGCATATCCAGCGATGGATACCCACGCAGACGAAGACGAATCATCATCCGCACTGAAGTGTTTGTTCCGCCACGACGTGCCGGTAAGTAACCCCCACCCCAAAATAACCCGCCTCTGCTCGCTCTCGCCAGCTGCTCCCGAGTTCAACCCGCATATCCAGCAATGGATACCCACGCAGACGAAGACGAATCATCATCCCCACTGAAGTGTAAGGGATATGCCTTATCACTTCTGATTTGATGCTAACCTTCTGATTTGATGCTAACGTTTGTTGGGTCTGATCCCGTCTCGCGTGGTTTTCCACATTATGGTACTTCAAATGATTTTGTGGGGTTTTAAGTCTCATATATTTCCGGTTGGGATGCCACATTTCGGGACTTCAAATGATTTTGTGCTAGGGTTCCCGATCCCGATCCTGTTCGTGGTGTTTTTCTCCGTTGGGCGTTAAGTTAGTCACGTATTTCCTTACGATTTTGTTTTTCCCGCATTATTTTCGGTGTTTCTGTATTCCCGCGCTTAGTCTTAGCTGCAGGTGGTTTTTTCGCTTGCGTGAAGTTGGTCTCGTATTTGTTTACGATTTTATTGTGAGTGCGTCAATTCTCGTATTATTTCTGGTATTTCGGTATTCCCTGCGCTTAATCCATGCTATATGGGTTTTTAATCCATGCTCGCCCTCGCCCGTCTCTGCTCGCTAGTTCATCCCGCATATCCAGAAATGGATACCCACCCCGACGAAGATGAATCATCATCTCCGCCGAAATGTAAGGGCTCTGTCTTATCTGTTTTGATTTGATCCTAACGTTTGTGCTGTTTTTTTTTGGTTTTGTGCTGGGTCTGATCCCGTCGTTATGGTTTTCCACATTATGGGACTCATAGGGTTGGTGTTGTTTTCTCCTTTGGCTGTGAAGTTGGTCTCGTATTTGGTTACGATTTTGATGCGAGTTCGATTTTGCATTCCACATTATTTCCGACATGGCGTTTCGGTATTCCCCCCCGCTTAATCTTCGCTGCATGGGGGTGTTTTCTGCTTGCGTGAAGAGTTGGTCTCGTATTTGGTTACGATTTTGTTGCGAGTATTCCCCGCCCTTAATCTTCACATTATTTCTGGTGTTTCGGTTATTCTCTGCCCCTAATCTAAGGGCCTTAATATAAGTCCTGTCACAATCCTTAATATAAGTCCATTATTTCTCACCCTGCAGCTGCTGATGCTTCGTCATGTCACAATCAACGCCTGGTCCACGAACATGTCACAGAGATTTGTGAACTTTGCTCCCTAAATAGCCTGCTTAAGTATATGTTAGATAAGTATATGTTAATATGACAACTACACTTTCATTTATTCAATATTCTGCATATTTGGGTTTCATGCCAGGAGGTGAACTCTTCTGGGAGCTGACAGTTAACAATAGCATCAGCACTTAGCAATGCAGTGTAGTTATGCACTAAGAATCTTGTGCTCTTTCTTTTCAATAAGGTTATATACACTAGTCATTATGATTTTTTGAATCCACTGTTTGTAGAATATGTTAAAATTTGGTAGGGTCAAAAAGAGGCAAGGAAGAATACATATTCTGGGATCGGTAGTGCAACTGTTAATATACTTTGAACTTTGAACTCGATTTGGTAGTTTTCATTCCTGTTTAACTGTAATCATAAGTGGTAGGGTAATCTTTAGCGGTTGCTGTTGATGTGATAACTCAAAGCTCCTGGAAACGCATGTCTTCATAAGGCCATATCTGCTGTGGATCTTTGACTACAGGACTATGAAGAGGGAGGTAACCCTGAGCTGAAGAACAGCGCTGACCTCTGGTCATCACTGTCTCCTGAATGTAAGGAACACCCTCTCCCCTTGTCTCGCCATCAACTTGTTTATGTGCTTGTGCTATGTCACCTTACCAGTCTAGTCGATACTCCAGTTTATTTCTCAGAGATTTTTAGACTCCAGACCAAGTTATTCCTGCGTGATTAGCTCTTACAGCTATCTGTATGTTCACATATATCACATAATATATAATTTTAGGTAGCTCCGTAGAATGTTGCAGTACATACACCTATAGGAGGCTTAACAGATACTCCCTCCATTCTAGATTAACGTTTTGGCTGTTCTAGATATGTAACTTTTGTGATGCACTTGGACATACATCATGTCTAGATACATAGTAAAAGCTATGTATCTATAAATAGCGAAACGTCTTATAATTTGGTACAGAGGGAGTAGTACACGTTTTGTCTGCAAAGATTTGGGCTACATTCTTTTTCAGTACCTCGAGTTATGTGTGTCTGAGATCATTGTTGTAAAAAAATCTTGGCTGGAAGTTGAGGAAGGTTATCACGCTTTTGGCTAGTGAATGATTTATAGGCTTGCTTAAAATAAAGCTTATATACGTACATAGAAAACTGAAGATTTAAAATTCAATGGCAAGCGATTTTTCATTGAAGCGGCCATGAAAAGGAACAGAATGAACGGAAATGGTGAATTATTATAATGCAAACGCAGCAAGTTGGGGCAATGTAGTATTATGTTATGCTCATATGTAGCCGTGTAGTTCCATTTGGAACATGGAAGTAAAAAGGGAATACTGGATTTTATGAAAATGGTGGGGGTGGAATCCTGTGGAGATGAATAATAGTAATATGAGAGGTATGACCGGATGGTTCATGCAGAATTACATGAGAATCTTGGTGGAGAGAAGAATCTCAAATAAAATCCTAAAAGAAGTCCCTAGCAATAACCTAAAACCAAAAGGTTCCCAGGACCGAGGTACCATGGAAGTTTGAACCATAACATTATCATCGTGGTCTACATTTTTGTTGTAATTCTCCTGGCTTGTTAAGAGATGTTTTAAATGAAATTGTTGTTCCAGTCTCTTGAGGATCATATATTTCCCTTGATATTTTCAGTGGATGAAGTCGCTGATGAAGCTATAAAGCTGCTCTCTGCATCTTGCGACACTGAACTGGTTAGTCATTGGATATGTTTTTTCAGCAGCAAATGCATTGTCATTTTGGATTGCAATTCCAAAGGTTTCTTCATTTTCTTTCTCTCCCCCTAACTCTTGGCACGCAAAATTTCTTTGTTGTGTAAGTTCATGTCTGTGGCTATCCATCAATAGGGTATTTGCAACTGCATGTTTAACTTTTTCTTATAAAAAACATCCTGTGCTACCTATTATAAGATATCATATGTATGGCATAGACCTTACAGAACTGTGACAGCTAATAATGTATGCAATCCATCCGTTTTTATATGTTCTTCAACCATACACACAAAAAGTAGCTATTGGAGACGCTGACAATTCGTGGATCAAGACGGCAGATGTATTTTTTTTTTGATTGAGTAGTCATTATGATTTTTTGAATCCACTGTTTGTAGAATATGTTAAAATTTGGTAGGGTCAAAAAGAGGCAAGGAAGAATACATATTCTGGGATCGGTAGTGCAACTGTTAATATACCTTGAACTCGATTTGGTAGTTTTCATTCCTGTTTAACTGTAATCATAAGTGGTAGTGTAATTTTAAGCAGTTGCTGTGGATGTGATAACTCAAAGCTCTTGGAACACGTCTTCATAAGGCCATATCTGCTGTTGATCTTTGACTACAGGACTATGAAGAGGGAGGTAACCCTGAGCTGAAGAACGGCGCTGACCTCTGGTCATCACTGTCTCCTGAATGTAAGGAACACCCTCTCCCCTTGTCTCGCCATCAACTTGTTTATGTGCTTGTGCTATGTCACCTTACCACTCCAGTTTATTTCTCACTTCTCAGAGATTTTTAGACTCCAGACCAAGTTATTCCTGCGTGATTAGCTCTCCACAGCTATTTGTATGTTCACATTTATCACATAATATATAATTTAGGTAGCTCCGTAGAATGTTACATACCCTTATAGGAGGTTTAACTGATATTCCATTCCAAATTATAAGATGTTTTGGCTTATCTAGATACGTAGGTTTTTTAATGCACTTGGACATACATTATGTGTAGATAAATAGTAAAAGCAATGTATCTAGATATGTCTCTTGGATCATATATTTCCCTTGATATTTTCAGATGATGAACTCGCTCATGATTCTATCAAGCTGCCCTCTGTACCTTGTGACACTGACCTGGTTAGTCATTGGTTATGTGTTTTTTTGGAATCCACTGTTTGTAGAATATGTTAAAATTTGGTAGGGTCAAAAAGAGGCAAGGAAGACTACATATTCTGGGATCGATAGTGTAACTGCTAATTTACTTTGAACTGGATTTGGTAGTTTTCTTTCATGTAGAACTGTAATCATAAGTGGTAGAATATAATCTTAAGTGGCTGCTGTGGATGTGATAACTCAAACTCCTGGAAACGCATGTCTTCATAAGGCCATATCTGCTATTGATCTCCTTGCTTTAAAGGTTTTTTAATTGGTTATTATTCTTACATGTGCTTTGTTATTCGTGCCCCTTGCTTCTCAGATTTCTGATCGACTGCAGGATGCTGAGAAGGAAGATTCTCTCCAGCTGAGAAAGGACAATTCTGAACATGGACTTTCTGATGAAGGTAAGGCACATCCTCTGCCCTCGTCTCACCATCTACATGTTTGTGTGTCGTGCTATATCACCCTACCAGCCAGTCGATATACTCCAGATTTTTTCTTCCATGAGCATATGACACAGATTGCTGCTGGGTAGAGGAGCTGCTAGGATATATGTTTTTAGCCGCTATGTGATCGTAATATCTGATTTTAGCCAGCTATAGCCGCTAAATGGGCTGCGTCTAGCGGCAGCTAGATAGCTAAATATCGCAGTATGTTCACAGAGATCTTTCCTGTTTGGTGTTTTTGTGAATACTTACTTCTCAGAGATTTTAGACTTCAGACCACGTTATTCCTGCGTGATTTTCTAAATATCGCAGTATGTTCACATTTATCACTATTGGAGGTTTAACAAATACTCCCTTTACTGTGTGTAGATGAACAAATCGTCGGCAGTCTTGCTGCAGATGGATCACATCTTCTTAATATTGACCTCAATGTCTGCTCAGCCCGTTTCCATTGCTTTACTCTTCCTGAAATTAGGACAGTTCTTCAAAGGGACAAGCCTACGGTAGTTTGTATTTCTGGAGTGGAAAGACTTCGTGAGTCCGCTGAGGTTCTTGATTTGATAAAGGGTAAGCGCGAGAGGTCAAAAGATTTATCCTTCTAAAAGCTGTGAGAATAATTTCTTTGACGGAAATGAATGATGAACTTGATGACTTAAAGCCAATCAGCTTCCTAATGTGGCACCCTAGAAAGGATTTGCTTATAGGAAAGTCAATACAAACATCACTTCCAAGGATATGAAGAAAGTAAAGAAAGTTTCCAAATCGACAAAACAACTTCAGAAGAACAAGAAAGTTCAGGGACTGATTGCCCTTGAGCTGTGCGAGTTAATCGAGATGGATTATTCCAACTACTTGAAGGATCACCTTGAAGAATTGGTTGTTCCAGTTTGGAAAATTTCTTTACTTTCTTCATGACCTTGGAAGTGATGCTTGTATTGCCTTTCCTATAAGCAAATCCTTTCCAGAGTGACACATTGGAAAGCAGATTGACTTTTAAGTCATCAAGTTCATCATTCATTTCTGTCAAAGAAATGATTCTCCCACCTTTTGGAAAGCACCAATCTTTTGACCTCTCGCGCTTACCCTTTATCAAATCAAGAACCTCAGCGGACTCACAAAGTCTTTCCACTCCAGAAATACAAACTACCGTAGGCTTGTCCCTTTAAAGAACTGTCCTAATTTCAGGAAGGGTAAAACAATGGAAACGGGCTGAGAAAGTTCAGGGACTGATCCCCTTGAGCTGTGCGAGTTAATCGAGATGGATTATCCCAACTACTTGAAGAATTGGTTGTTCAAGTTGAAACTGAGCAGGATAGGCCTGTCTGGTTTTATCTGTAAAGGTAATGTTCGTTCTGTTGCTGTTTCTGTTTTTTATTAATGTGTTTCCTGAGGACATTACAATGTCTAATCAAAAGATTTCTCATGCTTAATATGGAAATTTTATCTAGCATCACTGAAATCATCTGGGCCATGCCTTTTTCTATATATTAGTACATAAACACTGAAGATTGAAAATCATTCCATTGGTCAGAATTAGGATACAGATACTGTGAAGTGCATTTTTAAACATTTCTAACATCATTGGTGTTGATCACCTGAGATTGCATTTAATGGCCTGCTTATAAATAATGATGCTTATAAACCATTTGTGTGAACCACCTGTGACTAGCATTTCATCAGTCTGTTACTTTCGGTCACCATATTGGATTGCTCAAACAGTTTGATTTTTCTTATATCTTCTGTAGAGTAAGCTTGACATAGGCAAACTGAAGCCTGTATGTGGATGCTTGAATCTTTTGCAATGTGAAATGAGTGAATGCTATTGCAAGCAGATTGATGTAATTGGAACGAACAATCTGTCAGGCTTTTCGTTTTGTTCTGAACTTGTTTTTGTTAGTGTCAGTAGTACAGATGCTATAAGACGGAATATAAACACTGGAGCTCTTTATCTGATACATGATATTTTGCCATTTTGAAATTTCCAATTTGATGGATGTGCTGCAAGAATTATCGAGCTGTTTGGTTCCTACACAGTAACGCAAACGTAAAGGCCAGCTAGTTCAAATCTGTTCCTGCCGGGCAGTTCAATTTGATTTACGTTTGCGTTTACATTTCTACAAACCAAACAGCTCGTATGATCGATTATCTGTTGTGCTGGTAGGCAGTAGTTCCATAAAAATGGATAAGGAAACTTTATGTGCACAACATTTCCCCTCGCAACAAGTTACCAGCGTCATTTCTCTTAAACCACTGAGGGCAGTTTAGATCTTATTTTCATATTGGGAATTTGGATTCTAGATAATAAATGTTGAATCTAAATTCTGGATAAAAGAAATGAGGTATGCTTGGATTCCATTCTCAAAAGTAATTATTGTGTTTACATAGTGAAAATAAGCAGGTTCGGGTTAGACAAATCTCATTTTAAAATCGGACTGTTTGGATCTCATTCTCATTTTTCTTTGGAGCTCCAAACAAGGGGCGTAAGTACATTGTAGACTAGGGATTTTCGGCTTACTCTGGCTGCCATCTATGACGATTGTAATAATATTTGGAGTGGTTTTTAGAAAATTTCTATCGAGTATTGCAGCAGAGATGCAAATCATGTAGCGCATGAGTTGGCAAGGCGAGCTATGCAAACTAAGGCAAATTGTATATGATGTGCCTCGTAGTTTCATTCGTTTATAATAAAGCTCGCGTATGCATTGTCCAAAAAAAATGGTAATCACCTGTGCTTAATAAGTGCACACCACTTTCACTTTGCAGCATTTATGTTGACGCAAACGCAGTGCTACTGAACAGAATCGTCTGCGCGATATGGGCCCAGTTCGTTTTGGCTTAGTTTGCTTTATAAGCCATGAGTACTGTTGGCTGATTTGATGTAAGAGAAAAATACTGTTTGTTGGTTGATAAGTCATGGCTTATAAGCTGAATACGAAAGCGAATAGGCTGGTCTGATATGGAATCACCACTTAATCCTCCTCTGAGCAGGCAAATGGCAAGATGACAAGCACATATGTGCCTGTGTGTTGTGGCTGTCTGCTGTCTCTCTTCGCCGCCTCATCTTGCATTCCTGTGGTTGCTCTCAACTCCATTAGCACACCGCACATGCTGCTGGATTACGACACTATATAATTTGGTCCCGTTCGCTGGTCTGAAACTTAGCTGAAATTGACTGAAAAACACTGTTTTGCCTGAATTGCTGTGAGAAAAAACATCATTCTGACTTAAAAAAAGAAGCCGAAAAAGCCAAATAGGCGCTACAAGGGCTACTTCAGATACTAAGGCACCAGCGCACTACACGTCCGAGAATTAATCTAGCGTTGGTTGCTGTGTTCGTGTTCATTTTACATGCCACGTCGCTCAAGCTGGATGGAGTGCTTTTCACATTTGCATGCATGCATGCGTGATACAACTAGCACTGGCCAATACGGTGCAAAAGCACGCTTCCGTCGCTTCGAGTACCGTGAAGCACAGGTTAATATAAGTATGCTTCGGTAACTTACGGCGCCTTACAAATCGTTTTTTTTCAAAAAACATGTGAACGCCTAATAAAAGATAATGGAGGGAGTAATCTAATACTCCTTTGAGTCTCAAAGAATATAACCCTCGCATCCCGAGGAGTCAAAATATTCTTAGTTTTAACTGAATATAAATAAAAATATATTGATATTTATCATGTGTAATAAACATAGTTGGATTAGTTATGAAATATATTTTCATAATAGATAAATATAATTGGAGATTGAAATGTATGTGATATCTTCTACTTTATCTGTTCTAAATTATAAGACGTTTTGATATTTCTAGATTCATAGCTTTTATTATGTTAGACATAATATATATATAGATGCTTAGCAAAGTTATGAATTTAGAAAAACTAAAACATCTTATAATTTAAAACGGAGAGAATATAAACTTAGTCAAACATAAAGATTCTTTGACTTCTTAGAAACGAGAATTACATATATTTTTTTTGGACTGTAGGAGTATATGGCCTGGTACCCACAAACTCAATATATAAATACATCTATGCAAAAGGTCTTTCAGTTTTCAGCTCGGGATGCTGCAACTTTTTCGCTCTTGAAAAGACAATCTTAAACGCTCAAGTTTTGATTGCTTCGAGTGAGCTCCACTTTTTCTGACCACCCCTACGATGATAGTGGGATCTGAGCTGAAAAAGAAGTCAGTACTCCCTCCGTATCGGGGTGTTTAGCTGTTTTGCGCAAATCAGGTCGTTTTGGTTATTTTAGTACTGTTGTGGACGTGAATGCCCCTGTCGTTTCGGTTCTCGTCGCGCCGTTTAAGGGCATGTTCGGTTATCAAGTGGAGTATTAGACACTGGGAACAATTTCAACCTAAAATATTGTGCTAATTTGTACTATTTTTGATCACAGGGAATGATTTCGGAGGAAATAGGCTAAACGAACAAGGCCTAAGGAGCAAATAAATCGCGCAGCCGTCCCCTTTCCTTCCTCTCATTCGCTCGCACGGATCTGGGAGCCCTCCCCAACTAATCCCGCCATGCAAAACGCACGCCTCCAACTGAATTGACGGCATGCAATCCTGCGCGACGGAAAAATAACGCGCCGCTTGAAATAACACCGTGTCTGAGAGAGCTCGAACAGTGCACACCTGCCTCGGGCCATGTTGCGCTTATCACTCCAGCTACAAAGATATGATGTATGGTAGATACTTGCAACTATATTTAATAAGGATAAATAGGGAAAAATATATCCTACTTAGTCACTCTGTGGTATATTAAATTCTGTCCAAAACGATCTTAATTACCAGTATGGAGGGAGTTTTTTTTTTGCTGCTACTGTCCGACAAAGCACATTGACATCCACATCATATTCAATTATTCATTATTCCGTAAGCAGACCAATACCTACTAATTTAGGACCTGTTTCGCAGGGCCCTGGCTCCATCAAAAACAGTTTCGGCTCAGAGGTGGAGTTGTTGCTGTTTTGGTAAAGCGTTTGGTAAACAATGTCTCCGGGGATGATAAGGGTGAAATGTCTATAATACGCCTCTATTCTTTCTTTCTTTTTCTTTTTCTTTTTTCCTTATTTCTTATTTCTCTCTTATCTCCATCGCACAGGTTTCTTTCACTTTTAAGGCTTCGTTCGGTTATGTAAGATTAATTCTCAGACATACTGTTTCTTCATTAATTTAAATAGCGTAGGAACCCTTACCTATACGTTTGAATTGATTGACCCATTCTGCTACGAGGGCCGCGTCCGGCACTCGCGCCGGCGCCCGGCGGCGCACGCCTTCGAGTACCCCGCGCGCTAGGCGCTCGTCGACCTCGACCGGCTGCCGCTCCCGGACCACCTCTCCGCCGACGAAGCCCGCCGCGTCGCTTCCACCTCCGGCCCCGTGTGAGCCCCTCCTCTCCCCCCGCTGCTTCTCAGCGAAAGTTTCGCACCCTCCTTCCAAAAATAAATCGAACCTGTCGTGCTCTAAAATTTGAAGGGGAGCGAGTCTTCAGTTTGGGTCCTGTCGTTTTTAGATTTCTATCACATCGAATCTTTTGGACGTATCGTGAAGGCGATAAATATAAATAAAAATAAAACTAATTACTGAAGGGAAATTCACGAGACGAATTTTTTAAGCCTAATTAAATTATGATTGGACACTAATTATCAAATAACAATGAAAAGTGCTATCGTGTATTTTGCAAAAATTTTCGCGTGTATTTGACGAAATGGCTCTTGAGCGCTGACTTGCCCTGTTCTTCCTCGATGAAGGCGCCTCTTGACGATACCCAACCCAAGAGCGTGGCATACGAGCAGAACCCGCTGAGCATTTACTACTGCTACGATTCTGCAGGGCAGGGACAAGATGGAGAGCTCAGAATGTGCAATGCCGAGGTGATATCAGCGCGTGTTTAGTTCAAAAAAAAATATCATGTACCCTTGTTGAAAAATTAGCGAAGGTTTCCAAAAATTAAGAAAAATAAGAAAATCTTTCATATTATCTCTTATCACTTGCACAAAGTATAGGTATTTATTATTATATAAATAAATACATATACATATCATGTATAATAAAATACATGAACAGAGAGTTGACACACCCAAAAATTATTATATATCGGATACATTTGAAGAGGCTAAGTTCATAGGTATGTAAACACGATCTCGTACGACTCACCAAACCAAAGCTCGGAAGTTCCATTTTTTTTTTCAGTATTCATCATATCAAATCTTGCGATACATGCATGGAGTATTAAATGTAGATGAAAAAAACTAATTACATAGTTTGATGGGAAATTGCGAGACAAACGTTTTGAGCCTAATTAGTCCATGATTGAACACTATTTGTCAAATAAAAAAGAAAATGCTACAATACCCAAATTTCAACTTTCCCTCGAACTAAACACAGCCAGTGTACATACGATTCATCTCGATTGGTTTGTGGCTGATTATTTGCAACTGTCTAATCTCTTGTTATTGGTGTCAGGTCACAAACACTCCCTGGGCAGAGAGGGTGATGTTTACTTTCCAACCGGGCTCTGATCTCGTCGCGAAGCCCTTGCATGTCAGCCCCTTTATGGTATGACCTCAGTTTAGAATCAACATAAGCCAGCTAAAAAAATGTGCCCTTGTGTATTCAGAATTCAGACAATGTGATGCGTTAACTGATGGCTCCTAAACACTTTTATTACCAAACTGCTCTAATGGCAGTTGAAATGTTAATTTGCTCAATTCACTTTCACCTTTGATCTCGTTGCAAATTCTTTTGCACAATCGTATAATGGATGTTTCTGAACTCTGATACTTGCTTGTGCGCATTGCCTAGTTATTTTTTGGTAACTTTCAGCTTGCTTCGTTTGGTCGTATTCGGCTTATAATCCATGGCTTATCAGCCAACGAATAGTATTTTTCTCTCACACCAAATCAGTCAACAGTACTTTTAACCATGGCTTATAAGTGAAACAAACCCAAACAAATAGGGCGTTTGTGTACTGTATTCACCTCTGTTGCTTATCTTAGTGTGCTTTTTTTGTTGGCATGATTCGTAGGATATGCTCAGCAACTGGAGTTTTCACTGGAGTTTTCTGATGCCCCTGGTGCTAGACTCTTGGGGACTATTTCACTGCAGCGTTGGATGCCAAATTGGTTGGACAGACAAGTAATTCTCTGAGGCAGGCAACCTTCTTCTGGCTGATGCCGCAAAAAGTTGCTGCATGGATATACTGGGAGGTAAGGATCCTCGTCCTTATAAGTTATGGTTGAAAGTACCGTTGACTGGTTTGGTGTGAAGAAAAATACTATTCGTTGGCTAATAAGTTATGGCTTATAAGCTAAATACGACCAAGAGAAAAATCATGTGTTATGTAACTTTTCTGATTCCATGGTTAAGTTTATGGTTCCATTTTCCTTAATGAGCAATAAACCCTATCTGTTAACTCTAAGGAAAAGGTTATTAGTATGTATAAAAAATGAGATAAACTTGGTGGCTGTTTTCTTTATTCTTCTTTCCTCTATGTTTGTTTCTGAATATATGTCATGGTGGTTGAGGCTCCGTTCGGCTTGCTGAAACTTGGTTGAATTAGCTGAAAACACTGTTCTAGCTGAATTGTTGTGAGAGAAAAATATTATTCCGGCTGAAAAATAAAATATGAATAGTACGGATTATAAGGTAAACCGAATGAGCCTGAATCAACATATGCGTGAATAATAGTGATTCTTCCCTGAGTTTATGTTTGGTTTACACTCTACAGAAAGCCTTGACTTGCACATGCTGAGAAAGTTTCTAGGATTTGATTTATGGTTAACACGGTAACGGCTGATGAGTCAGGCCATGGCCTAATCTCCCATTAGGACCACTTTCCACCTGGGTACCATCCGGCAAGTCCCTCTAGCCCAAAGCACAGTGCGCAGCGGTCAGAGACGCGTGGACCCACATAGGCCGCTGCCCATACCGCCATCCTCCGCCCTGTACCTCCTGTCCACTACGAAAGCACGGGCCAGGCCCACACGCCTTCCCGCCCCGTTCCGTTCCATTCCGGATCACCGGCCATCCTCTGATCCTAATCTCTCTCCTTGGGCGGGCTAATCTTATCGTCCAAGCAACGTCAGCACACGAGGCCGGACCGCCGGCCCGGACGCGGCGCGACGAGAAGATGCCGCCGCCGCAGGGACCCACCGGCCACCGCGTGCTCGAGCCACCTGCTCCTCCCCGCCGCCCGCCCGTCCGATCCGGGAGGCCGGGGCCTGACCGCGTCATCTGACGGTGCGGCGACGAGTCGTGGGAGCCGCGTAATGAGGGCACCAATTCACGCGGTCACGCCGGTGTACTCGCGGGCGCGGCGGTTTCTTGCTCCTCCCTTCAGCCTTTTTATCTTTGCAAAAAAAAAAACCCAAAATTTATTTTTTGAGAGCCACCCAAAATTATCTTTTTTTCTCTCTCGAATACACACATCATTGCATTTAAGAAGAAAATAGTTTATCTTACAGGAGTATCCGGCTTAGCCAGCCCTTTTCTGAAACTGCAAATGGGTCTAGAGGAACATATATACTATTATATATAGCATATATGTAGATAGATAAAGTCAACAACACTAGTGGAAATTTATTATCAGCTCAAAAAGGCGCACATATAACGTGGCAAAGTTATATGAGTAGTTCCATGGCCACGTAAAATATTCATTTAAATTTAAATAGCCATATCATGGCAAAATTTTGGTAGTATAGTTGTATTCGCGCTCATTTTGTTTTCTTCTTCTGTGCAAACTTTATATTTGTACTCCAAAGGAAATAGAGGTAACTCTGATTATTAAAAAAAACAGAGGTAGTATTGAAGAAGCTCACATGCTGCACCTGCACCGCTGCACGTCCTCGTTTTTTACTCTTCCACGTCTGCTGTTTTTCCCCTTCATTCACAAAGGGGCCAGAAAATGGTCAAGAAAGGTGAGGTGGGCACCTCATTTTCTGCCCTCTGTCTTCCATGCCATCCACCCTCTGCTCTGCTGGCCCCAACTCCCAACCTCCCCCAAGCTAATTTCCCCCACCAAGCATTAATCTCCTGTACAATTAAAAAAAACAAAGTATGATATTTTTTTTTTGCGATATTTGTTTTGGTTCGTTCGTCTGTCCACATCTGCGATCCCACGACATCTTCCGCATGCTACGTCCTTTGGTGCGATTCTCTCTGATTGAATATTGCCTGTCATGTGATAGAGGAATCACGGCAAAATAGGAAATACAAAATTATTGTGCTATCCATATACACATTGCATGTTTGCATGCACCAGCATGCATGGCAACGAGCAAAAGGAAAGAGAATTAACATAGAAGAAAAGAGAATTAAGACAAAAGGAACATCTTTGTATTTTTAAGAACCTTACCAAATCTGCCTATATTTAATTAATTCCCCTCTTTGCATTTGTAAAAGGGACAACTTTTTTCTCCTTTCATTTGGTTTCACGCTCACGTGTTTTATCGCCCTTGCTCGTTGTTTCTTGCTAAAATTGTCCTTGGGTCTGTTCATTTTGAATCCTTTCCCCATATTCTAATTAAACTACAAAATTTTGAATTAGGATACGAGGTAAAACATGCAAACATATATTTCAAAACTACCTGTAGAGTCCAAAGAACTTAATAAATAAATCTTTCTGGAGGCAATGCAAATTCTCTCTAATATTTCATTTGGTGTAGTTAGTGTTATCATAGTCTCCGCATGTATTTATGGGAAATAAATCATAGATAAAACGTGAACACTTTTTGTGCGATATTTCAACATGGGTCCATCGTCCTGCCAATATTCTTGAGGCAGATCACATAAAGGATGAGAGTCCCTCTATGAGATTGCTCACAAGAGACTCAAACTTATATCTAATCATGGTAATGTTGAATTGCTTTGCATCAAAAGCATCGACAATGATAAACGAATATATGTTTTAGTATGCATAGTGAAGAAAAACTCAACCTTAGCCTTATCAACAGTTTTTTCTGAGCTTTTGCAGTGCTAACGTGTCCTTACTCAGATAGTCAAGAGGTGCACCATAAAATTATGCACCACTAAGAAAAGTGTCACAATTGGTTGCCTTAACCTAAAAAATATGTCGAAATTAAGAATTACAACACCTAATTCAACATCTTGGAACAGACACTCAAGTGGATACCTTATTCTACAATATATGTCTGTGTGGAATAGTCCTAAAGCTACACATATTTATACGATGAGTATAACATACTTTGTTTTAAAATTTTATGAGAGATTTTTAAGACACACAGTATTATCCATGTGACAGACACTAATATTTACGTATATACTTGAACATGTGTGTACAGGATTATATGGAGATGCAACGAAATTTATTCATAGATTTATTGGCGCATGAAAGAAATGGATATCGGAGAATTCTTTCTACCAATATAAAATATTATTTTAGCCATATCACAAAAAAGTCTATACAATGAGAGTCAGAGCCTCTGACGCCAAGCCTCCTCTGCTGATTAATTTCACGAACTTTGCTTTTTTAATTAAATATCACTTTAACGTCGAACTTTAATTTTTGAATATCATAAATATCACTTTAACGTCGTTTAGTTGTTCCGTATTTGCACGAACACGTTACCTAGTCAATCAATTAATTATCAATAGTTGTACTTATACCATTAGCGCCCGTGTTTTAGCCGTTCGATCTCATAAATGTCACCGTTTTAATATACACAAAGATTTATGCAAATCTAACTTGTTCTATTCACTTCTCTCTCCCCAGCGTAAAAGTGAGACGGATAGAGAGAGACACCTTAATTAATGCCTAGTCAATCAATTAATTATCAGTAATACTTGTATCACCATCCTGGCACTAACCCTGCGCCTATACATTGAGGACGCTCCTAACTATAATACTGCAAGCAAAGGACAAAGGTGCTGCTGCCCATCAGCCCATGGTTTAAGGCAATGCCCACTGTTCTTGTACAATTTCAGCAACACCCTTTGCTCTCCTCCTTTTCACACTTGCACACCTCTCTCTCTCCCTCTTTCTGGTGCTTTGCTGTGCAGCTGGTTGGATTTCTTCCAGGTTACCCCAAGAAATGTAGAATACCAGTTACCACCACCCACTGACCCACAGGATTTGCTCCTCCTCTCCCTCTTTTCTGCAAAGCTGAAGAAAGAAACCCAGCAGCAGCCACCAGCACTATTTATCCTGAGCCCCCTGTATTTGGTTGGTACTTTGGTATCCCCTCTCTTCTTCTCCGGTGGATTGGATCTTATCTAATCATCATCACAAGAATAATAACAACCCCTGCCTGCCTGCCTGCCTGTGTTGCTTGCTACCCTGACCTGGCCTAGGAGAAGGAAGAGGAGGAGGTGGTTGGTGCTGGGGGCATCAAATCTTTTAGGGTCAGGGTCTCAGGGCGGCAGCAGCAACAGCGGCAGGGAGGAGCAAACCGATTTCTGCAAAAGAAAGAACAAAAACAGAACGGGTGGGTAAATCTCACAATTTTTTCGTTGCCGCAAGTTCTTGGATCTGAACAAGCCTGGCAAAAAAAAAAAAAAAAAACGGCTGGGATGGGACGATGAGGACGATGACGATTCTGATATGAACGATTGAACTGGCCCTCTCACATCAGCTCAGCTGACGGATCTGTCCGTGCAAAAATTGCCGGTAAATCTCCTCTCTTCCTTGCTCCTCCTCCCCCAGCCGTTTGGACTGGGTGGGGGATCTTGTCGTTCTTGTTTCTTGCTGCAGCTGTTGCTGTTGTTCCCTTTTACTTTTCCGTGTATACGCATGCTGTTCGTTATATATATGTATATGTTTTCTCTTTGGAGGATAAGAAGACAAGAGTTTGTATGCAGCCGATCTGAAGGTTAGAGCGACATGTGATGCAGATTCGTAGATCGGTGTTCTGAAATTCGTCGTTGGACGGCCGTACAGATCTGTTGCGGCTCGATTGTGTTTACCTGTTCATAGTAGGGATTAGCGCTGAAAAGATTTGGGGAAAGCAAATTGCCCTGCTTCAAGTTCAATCCAACCAAGGCGATAGGGCTCTCCAAAGGATTCAGTCAGATCCGTTCCGTATGTGTCTGTCTTCTTCATGGATTTGGTTTTATTCGTTGTTTTTTTTTTCGTTTCGTGAATTTCGCAGCGTGGGGTGCGGATTCGTTGCTGCCTTGCTGGTA